ACAAAAAATGTAGTCCCTATTATGTTTTCGTGCCCAATTTTAGTCCTTAAAACAAATAAATATAGTCCCTATTATGTTTGGGTGCCCAATTTTAGTCATAAAAATAAAAAATGTAGTCCATATTATGTTTTGGTGCCCAATTTTAGTCCTAAAAACCAAAAAATGTAGTTCCTTAACCTCAATTTATGTGAATTAACGGTCCATTTTTGTTAATAACATCAAAGTAGTTGTGTAAAATAATTTAAAACAAAGATGTAATCAAATTTCAAAGGAACAAATTATTGACCTGATTATAAAAATTATGATACATTCATTGCATAATTATTACTTATTAAATATTAAATTATTTAATATTATTTTAAAATATTAAATTATTGACCTGATTAAATTATTAAATATTATTTTAAAATTATTAATTATTAAATATTATTTTAAAATTATGATACATTCATTGCATAATTATTAATTATTAAATATTAAATTATTGACCTGATTACAATCAATAATTTGTTCCTTTGAAATTTGATTACATCTTTTCGATGTTTTAAATTATTTTACACAACTACTTTGATGTTATTAACAAAAATGGACCGTTAATTCACATAAATTGAGGTTAAGGAACTACATGTTTTGGTTTTTAGGACTAAAATTGGGCACCAAAACATAATATGGACTACATTTTTTTATTTTTAGGACTAAAATTGGGCACCCAAACATAATAGGGACTATATTTATTTGTTTTAAGGACTAAAATTGGGCACGAAAACATAATATGGACTACATTTTTTGTTTTAAGGACTAAAATTGGGCACCAAAACATAATAGGGACTACATTTTTTGTTTTAAGGACTAAAATTGGGCACCAAAACATAATAGGGACTACATTTTTTTGTTTTAAGAACTAAAATTGGGCAGCAAAAAATAATGGGGACTCAGTCTGGATACCCCTAAACATGGAGGACCAAAAGTGGACTTTGTCCTTTATTAATATACGTTATAGCTTTAAGATTCCTTAAGAAATGTCAGTAAAAAAAGGGCAATATTGTGATTTGATTTACACAAATAGCAATATGATTAGATTTTTATTTCACGCTTTTTTTTTTGAAATATTTTGGTATAATGTCAATAAAAAAATGCAGTACCTGGTTACCAAAATTATCGTTATGATATAAAATCGGATCATTGCAAACGTCGGACACGACTCTTTTTAAAATTGATGTAAAAAACATACCTAATATATGGAAGGTAGTTCGTTCCATATAAGCTTATGTTTGGTTCGGGGGAAACGGAGGGGAGGGGAAGGAAGGGGAGGAAAAATTTTATTTCCCCTTGTTTGGTTCAACTTTTTGTAAGGGGGAGGGGTTTAAATTTTCCCTTCAATTCCCTCCTCCAAGGAAAAATGTGCTCCCCTCCAAAAGTGAGGGAATTTGGAGGGAAGGGAAAATTTTAACAATAAATTACTCTTTTGACCTTACTGTGAATTAATTTATTTTTTTTGTTCCTTACATCATTAAGGATATATTTGTCATTCTAACATTATTTTTCCTCCCCTTCCATCTTCTAACCAAACAAGGTTAATCATTTTCCTTCACCTCCCCTCTTACAAAATCCATCCAAACAAGATAAATTATTTTCCCTCCCTTCCCCTCCCCTCCCCTCCCTTCCATTAAATTCCCTCCCCTCTTCTCTCCTCCTTTGAACCAAACATAAAAGAATAAGTAATCCAATTCGAAAATTGAATAGATTTTCGAAATTTAAATTGGTTTTCCCTAAGTAGTAAGACAAAAATTGTGACACCGAAAAACTAACTTTCCACAAATGATTTTTTCCTTAAACTTTTT